AATCACAACAACACAACCACCAACAACAACAACAACAAACAAGCACAACAACACCACCACCAACACCAACAACAACAACCACAACCTCTCAACAACAACCCACACCTCCAACAACCCACAACCCACAACACCCACAACCTCGCCAACAACCACAACCTCCCCTTCCACCCGCACAGCATGACCGGCGTCACCTTCTGCGGGTGTGGGTTCCTCGGCGTGTACCTCGTGGGCGCCGCCACCTACATCCAGGAGCACCGCCCAAAGTTGCTCTCTCGGAAGCTCGGGGTTCCTCCGTCGGGTCGATCGTGGCTGCGAGCAATCGCCTGCGGGGGTGAACTTGCAGGTTTGTTGGGTGGGTTGGGTGGGGGGGAGGGAAGGTTGGTGGTTATGGAGAGGTGGTGTGTGTGGAAGGAGTGGGGACGGTAAGGGATTGGGGGAGGACGAAGGGAGTGAACTTGCCAGGTTTGTGGGAAAGTAGGGGGTGTTAGGGCGGACGCAGGAGGGGGGAGGACGAAGGAGGTGGGGGAGGGGGTGGGGGAGGACGGAAGGGGAAATGGGGAGAACCGAAGGGAGTAGGGGAGAGGAGAATGTAAAATGTGGAAGAATTGTAGATAAATTGTGTGTGGGGTGAACTTGCAGGTTTGTGGGGAAAGTAGGGTGTAGTAGTTAACGAAGGGAGGGGAGGAGGAGGACGTAGGGAGGAGGGGGAGGATTGGTAAGTAGGTGGGTAGGTGATAGATAGATAGGTAGGTAGATAGATGGGTATGGGATGAACTGGCAGGTCTGTGGGGGAAAAGTAGGATGTATGGGGACGTAAGGGACACGAAGGAAGATGGGATAGAGAGGATAAAAAGGTGTTAGAATGTAAAGATGGATGTATATTTGGATTATAATCTCATACCTCATCATAACACCCACAATTTAACACCAGCAACGCTCACACATCCACGTTTTCTTAGCACGTCCGTCGCATCCTGCTGGAGGAGGCGAAGGTGGTGAGAAAGACCTTCATGGGCGCCCTCAACCCCTTCTACAGGCTGGAGGAACCGCTGATGGAGTCCCTGCTCAAGATCCTGCCGGAGGACGCTCACCGTAGGGCGGTCGGGAGGGTTTTCCTGTCGCTCACCAAAGCTTCGACCTTGACCAATGAGGTGAGTGGTCTGTCGGGGGTCCTGTCGGGGGGGGGGGGGGGGGGTCCTGTCTTTAATGTTTCGGGGGGGGGGGTCCTGTCTCTAATTTCCGGAGGGGGGGGGTTCTTGAGGAGAAGGATGAACCCTATTTATGAGGAGTTATAAGAAATGTTTTTTTTTTTATATGAGGGTATTGATAAAAAACATTGTAATAAATGGTAGAAATGGATAAATGCTATGAATACGTAAATTTGCAGAGAAAAATTGTTCCATACAACAGGTTAATCTAAAGCAAGTGATATGAATACATTTGATATATAAATGTATGTGTGTATGTGTCTTGTGTGTGTGCGTGTGTGTGTATCTGTGTGTGTGTGTGTACATACATACATACATACATACATAGCTACTATCTATCTATCTATCTATCTAACTCTATCTATCTATCTATCTATCTATCTATCTATCTATCTATCTATCTATCTATCTATCTATTATATAAATAAATATACACGACAGAACAATAAGCCATAATCCTTTTAACCTGCGTGCTGTTCCTTTCAGGTAATAAGCCAATATGCCACAAGAGATGAGTTGATTCGAGCCATCCTTTGCTGCTGTTTCCTGCCTTGCCTTTCTGGCTACACTGCTCCGATCTTCAACGGTCGCAGGTATGTGGCAACACTGTAATCGTTGAAGAATTTTCACAAGAAATGTTTAAAACTTACAGAGTCGATTACTTGGTTGGGAGACGGTATACAAAAAAAATAATAATGAATAAATGAATGAATTAATTAATTTATTAAATAGAAATAAATGAAATTTAAGATATTGGTTGATAAAATATGTTGCTTTACTTATATGACTTTGTTTCCATGTTCAACTTACTGCGTCGTCAGATTTATTTAGATAGATAGATAGGTAGATAGGTAGATAGATAGATAGACAGAGAAATAGATAGGTAGGTAGATAGATAGAGATATAGGCATATAGATAGATAATTAGGTAGATAGATAGATAATTAGGTAGATAGATAGAGAGATACTAGATAGATAAATAGGTAGGTAAAGATAGATAGAGAGATAGGTAGATAGATAGAGAGATAGGTAGATAATAGAGAGATAGGTAGATAGATAGAGAGATAGGTAAGTAGATAGAGAGATAGGTAGATATAGAGAGATATAAGATAGGTAAGACAGACAGATAAACAGACGCTAGAGAGATAGATATATAGATAGACAGATAGATAGATAGACAGATAGATAGACAGACAGATAGATAGACAGATAGATAGATAGAAAGATAGACAGACAGATAGATAGACAGATAGACAACAGACAGATAGACCGACAGACAGACAGATAGAAAGACAGATAGACAGAACAGACAGACAATAGAAGATAGACAGACAGATAGATAGACAGAAAGACAGACAGACAGATAGAATAGACAGATATCACTCTGCTTTCACACACAGCAACTTCAAAGCCCCACCTCCTCTTCTTCTTCTTCTTCCCCCCACCCACCCCCAACCCACTTCCCACCAACCCCCCACCCCCCCAACCCCCCCCCACCCCACCCCCCTAACCCACCCCCTCCCCCCCACCACCTCCTCTTCTAACCCCCCAACCCCCCACCCCTCCCCCCACCAACCTCCTCTTCTTAACCCCCACCTTCCCCCCCCACCCCCACCCACCTCCTCTTCTTAACCCCCCCTCCCCCCACCCCCACCTCCTCTTCTTAACCCCAACCCCCACCCCCACCCCCCGGAAGGTACATCGACGGAGGCATGAGCAACAACATGCCGCTCAAAGGCCCGACGATCGTGAGCATCAACGCCTTTTCCGGCGAGTTCGAGATCTGCCCGAGGGACGAGACCGGCGACCTCCGACCCCTGAACCGGTCCCTGAACCAGTGCCTCGCCATGAGCAACGAGAACCTGTACCGTCTCAAGTGCGGCCTCCTCCCGCCAGAACCGGAGGAACTGGACCAGCACTACCATTACGGTTATTTCCACGCGAGGGATTTCTTCTGTCCTTCTGGGGCTTCGAAGGTTCGGAGGCCCGTGAAGCTTCGGATGGAGGGAAGTGGCGAGGGCGAGGGAGAGGATCAAGAGAGGAAGAGATAGAGGATTTTGATGATCTTGAGGAGGAGGGAAGGGAAGGCGTGGAATTCGTAATCTGAGAGAGTGAAAAAATGGTAATCTCGAGGAATAGAAGTGAAAGACGTTCTTCGTAATCTGAGAGAGTGAAAGAAATGGTAATCTGAGGAATAGAAGTGGAAAGGCGTTCTTCGTAATCTGAGAGAGAGTGAAAAATGATAATCTGAGGAATAGAAGTGAAAGACGTTCTTCATAATCTGAGAGTGAGTGAAAAAATGGTAATCTGAGGAATAGAAGTGAAAGACGTTCTTCATAATCTGAGAGAGAGTGAATTATAATCTGAAAGAGAGAGAAAAAATGGTAATCTGAGAGCGAGGTGGAAGACGTATAATCTGAGAGAGAGTGAAATGATAATCTGAAGATGATAATCTGAGGAAGATAGACGAAAGACGTTCTTCATCAAAAAAAAAATGATGAATAAATCTGAGGAAGAGAAGTGAAAACGTTCTTCAAAAAATGATGATAATCTGAGCACTCTGAAGAGAGAGTGAAAGAAAGATAATCTGCGATGAAAGACGTTCTTCATAATCTGAGAGAGAGTGAAAAATGATAATCTGAGAGAGAGAAAAAAAATGGTAATCTGAGGAAGAGAGACGAAAGAACGTTCCTCATAATCTGAGAGAGAGTGAATTTATAATCTGAAAAAGAGAGAAAAAAATGATTAATCTGAGAGCGAGGTGGAAGACGTTCTTCAAGAGAGAAAGTGAAAAATGATAATCTGAGAGAGAAAAAAAATGGTAATGAGGAAGATAGATGAAAGACGTTCTTCAAATTTGAGAGAAAAAATATGATAATCTGAGGAAGAGAAGTGAAAGACGTTCTTCATAATCTGAGAGAAAGGGAAAGAAAGATAATCTGAGATGAAAGACGCTCTTCATAATCTGAGAGAGTGAAAAATGATAATCTGAGAGAAGAAAAAATGGTAATCAGGAAAGAAGAGTGAAAAGACGTTCTTCATAATCTGAGAGAAGTGAAAAAAGGATAAATGTGAAGAGTGAAAGAAAGATAATTGAGGAGATTTCTTCAAATCTGAGAGAGAGTGAAAAATGAAATCTGAAGAGACGAGAGAAAAAAAAGATAATCTGAGAGAGAAGAGAAAAAAATAATAAACTGAGGTAAGAGAAGTGAAAGACGTCTTACATAATCTGAGAGAGAGTGAAAAATGATAATCTAGAGAGAAGAGAGAAAAAAAAAGATAATCTGAGAGAGAGAGAAAAAAAAAATGATAATCTGAGGAAGGAGAGTGAAAACGTTTCTTCATAATCTGAGAGAGAGTGAAAAATGATAATCTGAGAGAGAGAGAGAGTGAAAAAAGGATAATCTGAGAGAGAGTGAAAGAAAGATAATCTGAGGAGATGAAAGACGTTCTTCATAATCTGAGAGAGAGTGACTTATAATCTGAGAGAGAGAGAAAAAAAAATGATAATCTGAGAGAGAGAGAAAAAAAAGTAAATCTGAGAGAGAGAAAAAAAATGATAATCTGAGAGAAAAAAGTGACATTCTTCATAGTCTGAGAGAGAGAAAATAAATGATAATCTGAGAGAGAGAGGTGAAAGACGTTCTTCATAATCTGAGTATAGTTTGGGAGAAAGTATAAACAAATCTGAGAAAGAGTGGAAGACGCCATTCAAAATCTGAGAAAGAGAATGAAAAAAAAATCTGAGAGAGAGACAGACGACGTCATCCAAAATCTGAGAAAGAGAATAAAAAAAAATCTGAGAGAGAGACGGAAGACCTTCTTCCTCTTCTGAGAGAGAGAATGGAAAATCTAAGAACACTCTGGGAGAGAGAGATGGACAATAAGACATAGATAACATAAGACATAGAGAGATAAAAATAAGACATAGAGAGAGAGAGATAACGAGGCATTCATGATTTTGAGATAGAGATAGAAATCTGTTATTCACAAGCGGAGAAAAAAAAGAATATATTCTTGTTATTCACTATTTGAGATTAAGAAAAGAATTTTTTTCTCCGTACGTAATCCTTATTTTCTCAGATTATTAGGAGGAAATCCTTTTGTGTTTAGGTTTAAAGTTATAAAAATGGCAAAACTATATTTATTTGTTTTTTTGTTTCCTTGTAAATGGTTATGATATGGCAATTTGTTTGTAGACTGTTTGTATTATGAAAATATACTTGAATCATGTTCAGTTTTTTTTTTTTATTGCGAATAGAAATGAATAAAAGAAAGTAGAAATGTGTTTCATTGACATAGAATTCCTATAAGAAATAGCGATACTAAATAAATAAATAAATTAATTAATTAATTGATTAAAAAAAATATGGAGAAACGTCTTAATGCCATAAATAAAAGAGTGTGTTTTTCTTAATTTCTGACAACCTTTGATTTTTTTTAAAGTTCAGGCCATGACATTTCACTAAATCCCTTGCAATATTAGTGATTATTATACATGTATTCATTTATTCTTCTGACGTTACGAAATTTATTTCCGTTACTTACCTTTACATGCTGTCACCCAGATGGCACTCCGGGTCAAGCCTCCATATATATCCTATATCATATATGTATATATGTATATATGTATATATATATATATATATATATATAATATATATATATATATATATATATATATATATATATATATATATATATATATATATATATATATATATATATATACATATATATATATATATATATATATATATATATATATATATATATATATATATATATATATATATATATATATATATATATATATATATATATATTAATATATATATATATATATATAATATATATATATATATATATATATATGACACACACACACACACACACACACAACACACACACACACACACACACACACATACTACACACACACACACACACACACACACACACACACACACACACCACACACATATATATATATATATATATATATATATATATATATATATATATATATATATATATATATATATATATCTGTGTGTGTGTGTTTGTGGATGTGTGTTTGACTCTAAGCCTGATTATCCTAACAGTTACCACCGGGAACAAGGAAAGGTCAAGAAATGAGAAACCTTTTACAATAATTGTTTCTGGAGACTCAATGAGACTCAACGTAATATTAAAGGAAAACGCTTACTCTAAAATGGTGGAGAGTTAATACGTTTTTGCTTTCTAATTACGATAAATGAAGAGATAGTTGTTTTCATAGATAGTTGTTTTTGCTTTCTAATTACAGCAAATGAAGAGATAGTTGTTTTTAAACTCTTAAGCATATTATAAAGATAGATAAAGGGAGAGAGATAGCAAAGGATGTGTTACTGTATGGTGCATATCGTAAGGATTAGTAACATGTCAATACACGTTTGAGGGTTTGCAATGATATTTACACAGGGAATGAAGCAACGATTCGTAACACAATATGCCGGCGAGTGAATAGAAAAACACGCTTTCTTTCTCCATTCTTGTTTGCATCTGTGTATTTATCCATCTCTCTCTCTCTCTGTCTCTGTCTGTCTCTGTCTCTGTCTCTGTCTCTGTCTCTCTCTCTCTCTCTCTCTCTCTCTCTCTCTCTCTCTCTCTCTCTCTCTCTCTCTCTCTCTCTCTCTCTCTCTCTCTCTCTCTCTCTCTCTCTCTCTCTCTCTCTCTCTCTCTCTCTCTCTCTTCTCTCTCTCTCTCTCTCTCTCTCTCTCTCTCTCTCTCCTCAGTCGTGGTGTATCTCTCGTAGGGCTAGGACGTGTTTACAGTACTGTCCATAGACGTGAGGTCCCCGAATCCTGTGTTTACCCGCCCTATCTGACCTTGGACAGGGAGCGGGTCACCTCCTACCAAGGTATCAGCATGGCTAGTGTTGCTAGTGGAAGTGGAACCCATAAGAGGGTAAGAAGTGATGGAAGCGTAGACATGAGTGACGGGAATGGATGCGAGCGGGAGAAGAGGAAGAAGAACGACGGAAACGAAACAGCAGCCCAGAATGTTGCCGGTGTGAACGCAGGAAAAGACTGCTATTTCCACAGGACTGTGCCTTGAGTTTCTTAGAAAAATTAAGGTGGGCCATGCAACTGGGCCGGGACCACGCTGATTTCGAGCCAGTGATGAAGGAAGGAAAGGGAAGGCCGTATCTCACGGTGCGGGCAGGCCAGGCGGTGCAGACGCTGACGACTCAGGGATACAAGGGGACAGTGATGACTGTCCAAAGGCTGGGGAAAAGTTCACCAAGGTGATAATTTTCCGATATCCCACGATATTAGACCCGGACTTCCTGCTGGCCGACGATAGATTTGTGTGGGTAAGGCGGCACACGTCCAGGGACGAGGAGCGGAGTCAGCTCGTTGCCCTTGTGAAGGGGGAAGTGCCAGAGAAGGTATTCATCTCTGGAGCGGGGTACAGGAGGGTGGCACCGTATGTGGAGCCGCCAGTCATGTGCCTCAAGTGCTGCAGGTGGGACACAAGTCGTGGGCCTGTCAACAGGATGCTCGATGCAGTTCTGTGGCAGGACACATGACTCAAGAGTCTGCCGGGCCAAGATTGAAAAGGGGGAAAGGGTTATGCCTTGCTGCTGCAACTGCGGAGGGCGCCACAATGCCGGGTCTCCTGCATGCAGGGTGAGGCCACAAATCAAGATTGCTTCGGTGGTCCCCAAGGAAGGAGAAAATGGAAAAAGGCCGGTCACCACGCGGCCAGGTGCCGAGGGAGGAGACAGCTGTTGTCCCTAATGCCTGGGTGCAGGGCCCACCGCGGGTGGTGCCGTCGCCAATGGCTTGTGATGACGGGCAGGACGGACAGGTGCAGGAAGCGAAGGAAGTGCCGCGCAGTAGTGGTGCGGATTTTTCTAAGGAAATATCCGTAATTACCAGGATGTTCCAGACGCTGATGCAAGAGAATGGACGCTATCGAAAGGAAACTGCCCAGGTTCCCAGCGAAGAAACGAAAAAAACAGAAAGAGAGGGATGAGGCATCGAAAGAAACTCCGACTAAAGACACAGAAACGAAACAAACATGTATTTCTGCAAAGGAGCAGGACCCAGAAAGTGAGATAATTATTAAAGGGAAGGAAAGAAAAATAACAAGTGTGGGAGTGCAACGATCACGAAAAGAAAAACTCTTGGATCGATGGGAAATTGAACAAAACTTGGCAAAGCTTAATGATATGCTGGAAGAATGGAAAGGCAAGGTAATGCATAGTGTTGTCTTATAGCATTATTGTCTAGACTTCAGACAGCGGATTTCACAAAATATGTACAACAAAGAACAGGTGACCTGAACCGGGGATGACTGAATGCCTGTCCTTCGCAAATAACAGCTGCACACACGGGTCGCCTACGGTACCTCACAGCTCATCAGTGAATGTGTGCACGAACTTTCTTTTATAGACCGTGACTCTCAATATTTTTGTTTTTGTATTTTATGTTATTATCTGGTAATACACCTAATTTTTGTATGAGAACTGTGAGCCCACATTGGGACTTATCAAGATAAGGGTGAGGATAACATACGTTACCACATCCTTTTGAGATGTAACCTTTTGTCTCAATAAACTTGTCAAAGTCAAAGTCAAAAGTCTCTCTCTCTCTCTCTC